TACACCAAACAAGTCTCATCCCTTACGTACGTTAGAACATTTATAAAAAAAATATACATATCTCTTATTTTGAATTATACATATTCAAAATCGGTGGGGGACATTTGTGTATGTTTTGTTACCAATGTAATCCACTAGTTCTCTTACACATATTTCATATTCTTCTTTCCATCTTTCCGTTTTCCCATTTTTCCTCTTCCTCTTTTTATTTCCATATCTCGCTCTATCTCGCTATATCTCTCTTAACTACATTTTCGATTTTTTTTTTCATCACTTTCTTTCAGTTTTACTACCTTTTTATTTCTTGTTTTTATGAATCCTTCCATGAATCTTTACGGTATCATTTTTTTTATTACCAACCTCTTTTTATTACACATGCTGCAAAACTATACCTGTTGAAAATATACTCGCACTTAATTCCGCATCAGATATCTGAGGTATAATATTTTGTTGAATCCTGTATTCATTTCAATGTACATATCAAATACAATATAGATCATTGTACATACCATTCTTTTATATCTGGAATAAATTTGAACTACCTTTTATATTCTGATTTATTGCGTACTATTTTTCTAGTAATACATACGTGAAATAAAAATGTTTTATACTACGTTTATTTACTTTCTTATCCTAATGTATAATTAAGTGATTATATAGCAAATATATAATGGAAAAAGTCCACAAAAGTAGAAGTCAAGTTTACTGGAGAACTATTTTAAAATAAAAACTGATTAAAAATAGAAGGGGATAGAATAAAGAAATTCTACCGTAAATAAGTAAGTGTGTGAGAAGTTATAATTTTCCAATCACAATTTTTTATAATACTTTTTATTGATATTATCACAGTAGGAAATGCAAAATTGATAGGATAAATTTCGACGGGAATAAATTATTGGAAGAGAAGGTATAGCTTCTTTGTTTTTCGACAATTTATTTCCGATTATCGTTAAGTCTTACAAAAGAACATATAATACACATTATAGCTTGGCGGTAAATCTATAAGTAGACTAAACCTAATTTATTATAGTTGCGTTTACTTAATAACTTAAATTAATTGTACATATAATATATAAAAAATCATTGCATTCTCCCAAGAATTATCTTCTTGTACATTATAAAACGTATCCGACATATACATATTGAAACTCATATATATGTCAAATATAAAATGTAGTTACCTTAATAAATAAAGTTATTCAAATAAACGTGTCTGATATAGTGGTACGTATTAAAAGTCATATATGAAAATCGAAGAATAGAAATAAAGCGGGAGACTTACAGAGTGAATTAGAGAAAATAAAATTAGCAAATTGCTCGATTATCTACTTTAATTATTAATCAATAGCCAATTTTATGATAATCTCTTTTTTCGTTCATTATTTAGCTAATATGAAAGAATAAGTAGCAGAGTGAGAAAAAGAGAAAGAAGGAGACCCTATGGAAAATTCACGGGGTCCCGTTTTACTTTGACTTACAGCGACTCGGGATTGACAGTGTACCCGTTCATTTACTTATCAGATTTAATAATTACTCAGTTTATTTTACTTAGTGCGATCAGGCAGATCACAAATTGTGTACGAGAGAGAGATTCCTAACAGCTAACACCAAACTTTTCTTATCTTTGGTATCTATAAGTTAAATGCCTTACATGATCGGGATCTCCTTCAAATTCTTTCCAATAAATCGTGCTTATCACTTGTTTGTTTTTAACGAAGTTGTCTATAAAGCTATAATTAATAATCCTAATAAAATGTTGTGTCCTGAATGTTTCATCGGATTATATATGTCTCAGTAGTCACAAAGAAAATAAAGAGAGAAAATTGGATAATAATATTTCTCTTTATTGGAAACTTACGGCTCTAAATATGTTTATTCGTGGCTTAATTTTGTATCTTATAAACGACCCAGTAACGTGTTGTGCACGCAGTACCCCTTTAATTTATACGCGTATTTCTTTCAATCGACAACAGGTGTCATGCCGCACTACGGCATCGAGCGAAGAGCAAGAATCGATCATTTACTCCATAAAAAAGAAATAAAAATTAGAAGAAAGTACTCGTTATACGTTATTAAGTTCAAATAATTTATTTAAAAAAGATAATTTTATGCATTTTTTGATTGCCCTTATGTATTTAATTTGTTTCTTAACATTTCCATCATTTATTTATAAAATCTCTTAGTCACAACGCGGTCTATAAGTATAATTTAAAAATATTTTAATATAAAAGGACATTTTGCACTTTTCATCAGAAATAATAAATCTAAAATTTAAATTTATATTACGATTTATTTTTGAGGTATTTAAAAAATAAAGGATGTAAGCACACACAAGCTAAATAAATATATTTAATAAATCAAAGTGAATAATGTATATAAAATTGCTTTTTTTAATAACTTGATTAATTAGATTTTTTGTTCGTAAGAATGTAAATCTTAAATAGAAAACACTTTCAGATTAAAAACACTTGCAAATTATATTTTTAGCTTGCAATGACGGGACCTGTCTAGATTAAATTGTAGCTTATGCTTTTTTTTAAAGCAAAGGTCGATAGTTGACTTTCTTGCGTCTCCTACGATGTCGTTTTGCGACTCGACGTTTCATATATTATATAAACATTATCACGATACTATGACAACGTATATACTATTAGACAAACAACACCTTAACATTATTAATAATTCTTTTCTTTATCATTGTTCCATAGGGGTAGGCTATATTTCACGTTATCCATATCGTGCGTTTCTTACTAATTGATTGTTGCAAATTACGTCTGTTCGCTCCAGTTGCGCTTTCCGTTTTTAGCTTCATTCCTTTTCTCTTCCATCCAAAGATTAAAATATAAGTCCATTTAAAACTTTTACGCAAAACGCGCAAGAAAGTGCATCTCAAACAAACAGATCGTCGTAGACGTAATCGTTGTGAAATTGCTCGCTAAATATCGCGCAAAAACATCACGATTTTATGTAAGAAGAATAATAAAAACGCTTAGTGCTCGAAAAATTTCTTGTTTTCAGTCTCATTTTACATATACCAAGAAATATATTTCATAGGATAAGAAGTATATATTTCTTGTACTAAGTATAATATTAATTATACACACGTGGAGTAAACAGAATATTTTAAATAATTTATGTACAATTGAATCAGTTATTATAAAATGGACATGAGGTACGATTTTTATGGAATTAAATTAATACATAGTGTTTCTTAACTCACAATACATGTTATGTACGAAAAAAGTATCAATTACTAACTACAGGAATATCGATCTTTTTTTACATGCAACGTTTCGAAAAAGGCATGATTACTACTGAGCTTTCTTAGAGGCATTTTGTAATTAATAAGCGCTTATTTATATTTCTAAATGCCAAATATGTACTAAAATATTAATATACATCACGATAAAATTAAAAATAAAGTCCGTGGAATTTTTTAAGAAGTTGTTAGCGTTACTCGTGCATTTTCGTAATCAACTAATTCAATTGCTTTTTTTCTTTAATAAATATCGAAAGCAGTATAAAATCCTGATCATATGGTGTCCTTCTCAATTTTTCCTTAAAATATGTTTCAACCATATCAATTCTTGATGTGTTCTATAATCGCACCGTGCCGCCATTAAATTTTTTTTTTAAATTGTACATTAATATTAATTCTTGATGTTTTTGATATTCAAGATATAAAGTTTTACAAGGATTCAAAATCATCCATCCATCGTAGATGATCTTTGCTATAGGCTTAATGTTAAAAATACGTATTACGTATGGATCAAAATCTAAATAGTAATACAATTAAATCCGTATTCTTAACATATTAAGATAAAGAATCTTCTATTTTTAATACTTTTCCACAGCCCTCAAATAAATATGGATATTTATCTGTTGGACGTAATGGATAAAAATATAAATGGGCCGAGCAATTTTTTATGCCGACAATGCTTTGGAGAGAGAAAGTCAAGATAAATAAAATGAGAAAATAATTGCCGTGTCTCTTTCTCTCTTATTCGCGCCTACGCGTTGACATTCGATGCGTCGGTCGCGTGATATGCATGTGCGCATACATACGCATGCATATGTTAAATAAGAAATTTTTATTTACTAAGAAATGTCTTTGAATATCCTCTTCAATATGGCATCCTCCTCTTTCATTCGCGCTTTCTCTAATTATGATGATCACGTGATCATATGATAAGTATGGATTATTAGCATATATGTATACATATAGCAGCACAGGAGTAAATGTTAAGAATACGGAGTTCATAAATGTTGTTACAATGAGAATGCAGATGTTAAGAATAGAGGGGGGGGGTATTAAGAATATGAAGATTTAATCATAGGTTTACAAATAAAATGCTTACTGATAACTGGCAATGTGCAATATTTAATGTTTTGTAATGTTGTATAAAAGGTTATAAAAATCGAAAAGCAATCTTAAAACAAATATCACGTAAATTTGTATCAAAATTTTAAAACCATCCATAAAACTGAGCGAGCAGAACTGGCAGTGTGATTGTGTTTAATATTTCACAGCATGTTGCAAAAGGTTGTAAAAAGCACAAAGAAAAATAATTTTAAAAAATACATTTATATCAAAACGTTTAACCTACTCTTAAAAACGAATAGAAATAGTGGAAAAAAGATGGATAATTATTGCGGTCATAAATAAACAATTAAGAAATCTGCTGTATAATTTTACTATCAAAATTTCAATATTTACTCTAAATTATATGGCGATATCTGAATTTCTGGCAGTTTGTAATTATATCGATATTTCCAGCCGTTGTAGCTGGACCCGTCGTCTCGGTCAAAATTAGCTGAATATATGATAATCGACTACGGTTTAAATGGCAGTATTTACGCAAGCGAAATAACTAACGAGAAACGGTAGTGTGCGCGATATTTTTTGGTATTCTTATAATGCATACAGTAAAATTATGTATATATATACTGTACAAATACGGGAATGCGTACAGTATGTAAGGGAGCGCATTTGAGCCCGAATTCAACCAATATTGTGTAAAATAAAACGCTATGTGCAACCTTGCCATTTTTATATTACCATTTTGGCTCATATTGAAAACACAGTAAACATGTAGATTGTTGCGAACATAAAATGTCGCATCTCATTAGTTGGCCCGTTAAACTTTAATTGTGCATGATAGCATATTTCAAAGAATGGCAAACGTTTTTACACTGTCACGTTAAATACACGAAAAATTAAAAGAAAATTATCAAACTTTAAAAATGGCATGCAAATGCATCCGCGTTTATATACTAGACAATTGTGACTTGGCGATCTCTTGTCCATTGCTATATATGCATTATTGATACGTAGTCACGAACATTTTTAAAGTTCGGATATCTTTAAGAGAGACTTCATATAATAAACGGTAACTGCAAGCGCTTCGGAAAGTTTCGAAGGTACGTCTCTTGGTTGTGTCCAGTTAGTTCCACACACACACGCACACACATCCACACACACACACACACATACATACACATACATACACACACATAAACATACACTTTCTTTCTGTCCCGTTTCGTTTAAGTGTACGATTTTCCATCCGCTCACTCGAGCATATCGGGCTGCCGAATGGCGCTTATACCGCTTTATTTTTGAGTGCTTAACCGCTTCTACGTGAAAAAAAGTATAGGTAGCAATAGCAATGAGGCAACGAGGACGGACTGACCGGCCTGGACCGAGGTCGAACCAGAGCTAAACCAGCTGGACCCGGACGAACCCACGCGGGCGTTTTCATGGCGGCTGGATGGCTGCTCGGAGGCCATTAAATCCTCACGCGAAAGCTCCGGGCATGGCAGCTCTTCTAGCTTCAATTCGAATAAGTTTTTCGTGCAGCACTTTTTACCATCACGATTATTCTGCAAATCAAAATTGAAATTATCTACGTAGTATCAGTTAAGGAGATTCAAACGTTTTGATTAAACAAAGGCTAAACCTAAAACATATGCGTGCGTGTACGATACAATAAAGATTAATTAAATTAGTAACGTTAAAAAAAAATACCTCCATTATTTTTAAAATTTGAATCTAAATATATAAAATTTTTCATATTTTTAAAAATTTTGAATTTTTTTCTATAATATTTGTACCTATATTAGTCTTCTATATTTTTGTTAGTCATTTCTTGTAAAAATCATTAATGTGTAATATGGAGACTAAAATTAAAAATCTGACATTAAGCTCAGCTTGGTACACGCAAAACATGTTATAGTATTAATTTTAATTGCAATCAGCTCAACTTTTGGATGATCAATTTTTATGCAATAGCATAAACATTTAAATTGCCTTTTAATTAGTAATTAAGATTTTAATGAATTTTAAAGAAATTCATTTAATGAAGCAACTATCTTGATATCATTGTAAGAGAAATTTCAGAAACTATATTATGTGTAATTAACAAGCTGATCTATATCTTACCTTGTGATAATTTGTCGAATTTTCGTCATCGGATTCATCATAATATTCATCGTTCTCAGCCTCATCGTCGTCCTCGTTATTATCGTCTCTCAAATTATCGTTAACGTATTCGTCTGTAATAAAATACAAATAATTCTGTTTAAAAAAAAAATGCGATACATGAAGACACTTTCTTCCCCCTTCCTTCTCTCTCTCCTTCTCTCTTTAAGATTTTATTTTTGATTAATCATAAAATATTTTTGTAAGTAATAAATATCCACCAGTTTAAATACATTTTATCGACATTGTGGAATATATAAAGCAATACGTATAAAAAGAAGTATAATTACTTTGTTTTTAACTTCTATTGACAAGTGATACATATAAAATTAAATTATGGTGTCTATATTCATACAGCAGATAGAATGCTCTTATATGTCTCTAAATTAAGTAAATTTTGCATTTCGCCTTTTTGACACAAAACTGAGTTAAGTTTCGCCGAAAGGCATTCATATACTCGCTCGCGCGTGAACAAAACTTACTGGAAATCTTGGGCGGCTGATTTCTCCCCAGGTCTTCGTTGTTGATCTTCTGCGTTGCATTATTGCTCTCAAGGAAGCAAGTCAGCTCCTCCAGGGCACTCCTCAGTTCCGTGTTCTTCGTCTCGTTCCGCAGGCCCCAGATCCACGCGAGTTTGCAGTCGCAGATCAGATTGTTTCCTACATGCAGATAAGATGATGCACTTTGATCAGTCAATCTCGTTACTTTGATCACGAATCGCCCGAATTCACTGCGGATGATTTAACATTGCTGTTCGCAAACTTTAAACAACTCGCGCGAATCTCTTTAATACATTATTACAATCTTTTACTCTCTTATTTTGGATTCGAATTTATTTGCGAGATACTTATCCGATTTTTATTTAACATTGTTCTTTAGCGGACAATAAATTTGACAAATACTTTAGATAATTTCTTCTCAAATATATAGATGCTACAATTTATTTAGATGATCGTAGTACTTACCGCCCAGGTATAAGTGGCTGTTATTGCCGTAGAAATTAGTCACGATTGGTTTAATGTTGTCAAAAGTCATGGTCTTCAGCGAATTTACCCTCAGATCCAAAAAGTGAACACTGGGTGCACCAGCTAAAAAGTCTGGCTGCAATGTCACCAGCTTATTGCTGCTGAGATGCAACTTCCGGAGATTGCGCATGCTGTCAAATGCTCTTTCGGCTATATATATGATCTTATTTTGATCAAGCTGGACCTCGGTTAATTCCGGCATCTCGACAAAGCTACGATCGCCGATCATGGTGATCTGATTGAGGCGTAGATCGAGACGCAGCAAATTGCGCAGACCATGGAAACTGTCGCGCGTGATGACAGTGATCTGGTTGCCGCTCAGCTCGAGTTCCTGCAGCGAGCCCAGAAGCTTGAACGCCTTGTCGTGAACAGTGCTAATGTTGTTGCGGTTCAGGTACAGCTTGCTCAAGTTCGGCAAGTTCACAAATGTATCTCTATAAACAATTATTCAAAATATGTTGTGTACATCATGTATATATTTTTTTATTGCGTCTTTTAATTAAATAAAATTTTATTTCTTACTTATATTAATTCTCATTAGTCAATATTCACGTCACTTATTATTTATGCAATTTGTGCATTATGTATTTACTGTTAAGTGAATAGATATAATACGTGTGATAAAATATTACACATATTATGTAAAAAGTAATTACAAAAATAAATGTAATTCATAATAATGTGATATATTAGTATTATAAATATATTATATTATAAATATGCATAATATTAATTGGAGAAAATGTCATTTTCAGCCGGATTGGATCTTGATAGCTTAATAATAATATTTCTATGTGAATTTTATACTTTTTTCAACTTAGTAAATTGCGCTCCGATTATTTGTCGGTCTTGAAACAGCTTTTTGTTGGAACAATAAATTTACATACTTAAATCGATAATAATTAATTTAACTTTTGATGCTGATAAGCATCCTTTTTAAATCACTGTAAATATTATATGATGCAAAATATAGGCGCTGTTTGACAGTAATAATAATAATAATTTTTTTAATATAAAAGTTTTAAGTATGGCATCGTAATTTCAAGTTCTTTACATTAAATTTTTATATTTTTAATTAAATTATTACTTTTATTGATACATTATCTAAAAATTTTCTGAAATTATATTGCATATATTTTCGTACATTATCGTATATTAAAATAAATGTACATAAATATTCTCAAATAAAATGCAATTATATTGCATTTCATTAAATATAATATATTTAATATCTATATATATATATATATATATATATATATATATATATATATATATATGATAATGTGTGAAAGAACTAATCTTCATAGCATGCATAATCTTTTAATAATTTAATTAGAGTATTTTTTAAATAACATTTTGTAATAAAAGCAAGTTTAAATTGTATAATATTGTAACATAATCTTCTATATTTTTACATAAGAGTATTTAGTACATATTACTTTTTTTAAATCTTTTTTTATTTATTTTTGTGCAACAAACTAAATAATTTGTACTTAATGTTGTGAATTATTGGTTTCAAGCTAAAATACAAAAGTATTTATAAATTTCTGACTTATTAATATTGCAATGTATGAGAGAAATATATAAATAATTAAAAAAAAGATGAAATTGTGCAAGTTGAAACTTGCACATTGCTTCCTCATAGTTATTAAGTGTGCAAGTTGATGAAGCATTATTTTTTTCAATGTATAATTTTCAGTATTTATTTGTGTTGGCTTCCTCATAGAGGAAGCTTTGTGTGCGAAGGTTTCTACTTAAACACTTAAAAACTCTAATCAAGCAATGTGCAGGTTTCTACTCGCACACCTAACTCTTTAAAAACTTAACCTCTTTAAAAATTTCAACCAGGTATCTAAAAAATTATAGAAGTAGATGCGTGTACAAAAAATCCGTACACACACACACACACACACACACATACATACATACTTCCGGACATTTTTTACTAATACGATTTTTCGACATTTTAGAACATTCTAAACCTATTTCCATCAAAATCTCGAAAAAAAATTTTTTCACCATCACAAAGCTTCCTCTATGAGGAAGCAAAATGTATAAACAATACTTTTTTCATAAGAACACTTCTTTTTAAGCTTATATATTATACCCATTTTCTCAACAAGTAATGCAAATAGCACAAATAATATATGGTATGATGATATAAATAACGAATAAAAATTTCATTCGTTAGATTAACAAACACGATAAAAAGTTATAATAGCCACCTCTACTGGACAACTACTCGCCAGCAACTATCAGTTATCCGTACCTATTAATCTCAGGGATGCGATTATCGTCGAGATTGATGACAGTGAGATTTCGCATGTGCGCGAAAGCGTACTTGTGTAGCACAACGATCATGTTGCGGTGGAGATTGATCTCGGTAACGCCGTTGAGATTGCTAAAAGCGTTCTCGGCAATCTCGTGGAGCCATCCATACTTGAACACGATCACGCGCAAATTCTTCAGTTTGTGCAGCACCTGACTGGGCACGTAGTCGAGGCTGCCGATCTGACGTACCGTAAACGTCAATTTTTTCAGATGGCTTTGCGATGTGAAGTAATTCCACATGGAATCGTCCTGTACGAACTTGCTCAATACCCAGCAATCGGCCTCGCTGGCATTTTGCAGGCCGACATTGTTGCAGTAGCAAAAAATCGGCGCTTGCTGGTTCTCAATGTCGCAGATATTCACTTCCTTTGCCTCCTTGATGAGTTTCTTTTTGCCGCGCGTCTTGGGCACTGCCAGACCCGACGACGCGAACAAGATTGTCACCAGCAACAGTTCAAGAACGAGGGAATGGTACAGAAATTGGCGCATTATGATCCTGAAACAGAGAATTGACAGTTTTGCTTGAGTATATTACTTTATATATGACTCATTAATTGATACCGAGATTATTTTACAATAAAATTATTTTGGAAAATTCTGGTAATATATATTATTCTTTGACTGACGTGTAACAATTTAACAGATTTTTATTATACATTTTTCTTCCTTAAAAGAATTTTTTCAAAAATAATACGCGATTTTTATCTCTCTTCTGATGGATTTTTATCTCTCTTGGATGGATTTAAGTGTGAATAATGAGCAACTGATCGTCCTCGAAGCATCGAGGCGATGACGAGGCGATAAGGGTCGATTTCCATTGTATTTAAAGTCGGCGCGATACGATGCGCGCCTCCGGCTCTGTATCACAGAAAATTTGCTCGACAGCTCCATTACAAGCACGTCGATACGTAACGGCATATCGTTTCTCCATCACGAGGCTGCTCTTCAGAGAAAAACATTCCCTTCTTTCATCCATAGAGAGGACGTGGACACATTGTCGCACCGATCGATGGTATCTCCGATAAATAAGAATTTTTTTAGTCGAATGTTGTTCTTTCAAAGAGATACATTATATAATATATCTACAAAAAAATTTTAATATGCGCGTTAAAAATATTTTTAATCGATGTAAATTATTAATTAAACTGTTAAAATTTTTTAATACGCAAGGATTTTACAATGTTTATGATTTGCATTTAAAATTTACAAAGCTTTTCTTTGTCTTTCCTGTGTTGTGCTTATCGACCGTTAAATTCATTAACTCGTCTTTTTTAATCGAATGAGTATTGGAATGCTATTATAAGGATTCCGCTTCTGCGTTAATATTGTATTATATTGCAGTAATATTATATTACGTACGTAATGGCGTTTTTTTTAATTTCAGATATCTCATTGATTTCTTCATATTTTTATTCAACTTAATATTAATTACATTTAATAATTAAATAATAATTAAAATCAAAAATACTTAATTAAAAAACAATTCTAATTTATTAATTATATATGTTATGTCACAAAGGAATTGTTCATATCAATTTAAATAAATAAATATTTTTGCCGTGTAATTTCTTTAACTATTTTATGCCTTCAAAATTTTTTAGTAATACTGCATAGTTTACGAAAGATCGATTTTAGAACAAAATAACGCTTGGAAAATAATTCACTCTAACTTCATAAACTCTAGACATGAATAACTCCGGTGGGAAAAGCAGCATAGATAAAAATTTCCTCAGTGGGAGAAGAAAAAATAATTTCTATTCAGGCCGAGAGAGAGAAAAACCATCCACTATTGCCACATAAATTAAAGGATTTCCTTGACCTAGTGAGCCATTTTTTATCTAGATAATATCATACATTATTTTTTTATACAAATTCTTGGATAAAACTCGAGTCGTTGTTTTCTTAACAAAAAGATATGACAAACATTTTTAAAAATTATATAAACTAGCCGAAGTAGTACCTATACTTTTTAGGAACTATAAGCTCTAACGGTTTGTACAAATAAAAGCTTATAACAACTTATTCCTAATTTAATTTAAAGTAGATACTTCTATAGTTTTATAATTATATTTATAATTATATAATTAAAATTACCTATATCTATATTTATTATAGAAACATAAAGCCTTTTGGCATCCTAAGTCTGCGTAGCAGCTTCATGCTATTCTCTTCAAGGTTTCTCTTCCTTCAAAATTCAATAGCGATAATCTCGTCTATAATAATCGTGAAATTTCATAAATATGACGGTAGATGATATCGCATAGCGATGCTTTTGTCGTGCAATAACGTTTGTTCGCAAACTTCTAGAGGCCGGACGGTTTTAACGTACACGCGGCGCGTTCGCGAATTTCGCGAACTTTCCTCCTCCGTATAACTCGGCTTATTTAATTACTGTCGGGAACAGCGAAAGCTTCGACGAAAAGCCACGGGGATCCGCGAGTTCCGGATCAATTTGAGTTTTGTTCAATTTTCCTGATGGACTTCTCCCCCCTCCCCCTCTCTCTCTCTCTCTCTCTCTCTCTCTCTCTCTCGCTCCTCCATCTCGTTCGTTATGCCAAGGTGTTCACTAGATGAGTAACATATTTATTCGTCGGTTAAATCTACCCGCAAGGCGAAACGCCCGTTTGCATAATGGAAACGGTGATTCTATTTAAATTAGTCGACATGAAATTTGTCCACAATATAGAAGGACGAAAAGAAAAAGTAAGAATCTGATTGTACAATATTCAATTACATTTATTTCAATTTAAATCAAATTGTAATACAATGTATTATGGAAATAAAGTATTATTATATTTTATTAAAATTCTACAGACGAAAATAGTCTAAAATTGAGGATTAAAATGTTTCAGTCATAAATTTTTTATACTTCATGCTACGCCTGTACTTGGGTCTCCAATATATCATTTTTAAAATATTTTTATTCTCTCTGATTAGGTAAATTTTTCACCTCGTGCAATAGTATATCGGAGCTCGTAACGTATTTCGCGGATGAAATAAATCACAAAACTGGCGAATATCATCTGTGCGGTGAGCGCAGCCGTTACAGAACCGCTGCGGTGGATATGGCCGATGCAACATATGCAGATAATGCGCGAAAGTTTTTAAACAGCGCACTTGGGATACTCGTAATACTTCGTGAACCGCACGATAGCCGCCGCTTTGTTTCGTACTTATTTCCGATTGCGAGCGAAACTCGTCTTGGAGGGCACCGCGTGTTGCGTGAAGGCAAATGCAAGTCCGAGACTTTGCGCAATGTTGTCTCGACTTTGCAATATTTGCATTTAATTACGTCTATAGTATAGCTACGAAGTTGCCTACTACTTTGTGAAGTTGATACTCTTATACGACGATGACAGTCGCGGTGAATCGTAATATCCGCTACATTGTCAGCATTTATATTGATACGTTTATATAGTTCCAATTTAAAGTTTCTATATTCGAGTTCTTCGCAATTTGAAATTGTTTTAAGCAATATTAATTTTTACTATATTCTATTTAGTAATAACAATTTCTTTCAAAATTCTTATATACATATATAGCTTTCTTTATATTTTACAGATGTGCACGCCATTTTCATCTCAATTTAATTGATACACACATATTCTCTCTCTCTCTTCTCTTTTCACCGCTCCCCACTCTTCTCTCCACAACTTTCTCGCCGCGATAATTCTACAGTATAAAGCACAATGTACCGAACCACAAATAATAACGCACGAAACTGGCACTTGCCGTTACAAAGGGCGCAACGTCATGAACGAGGCAAAGACATATGAATATGTGTTATACCTGGTTGGAACGTTTAATATAACTTCGCAACTGACCGAAGTTTCGACACAGTGCGCGATTGCCATACGTTGCACCACGAAAATTATCCACGACACCGCGGTCCATTCGGCGCCTCTTACCATCACGCACGCTCCGTTGCTGTATGCTAATTGCGCCTTAATGGAATTCGAGCCGTGAGACTCGAGATGAGAGAGTGCCGGGCGGGCGTGTGCAAAACACGAGTTGTTTATTCCAAAAGTTAGGCGAGTAGAATGTCGAGACGCGACGAATTTAACCCCTCCGCTCAGTAATCTAAACCCTTTTCAATCCTCTATTGTAACGTTTCCAGGACGTTAAATTATAGCCTCTTATTTAACGTCGGAAATAACATGAAACGCGCCGCTACGCTTAACATTAGATAATGAGCAACTTCGTATATAAGAAGAAAAATAGTACAGGCATATATAAATACCTTGAACATACATTTCAAAGGTAAACGCAGATTAACAAATGGATTATCGTAAATAAGCTAATAAGCTTGTTTGGATAAATGGAGTTTCAATTAAGTAATAATTTTATTAATTTACCATTAAAAACCACTTTACAGCCGTTTTAAAGCTACTAAAGATATTTTAAGCTCGCACAGCGGCAGCAACAGCAATACGCTAATACAATGCAAATTAATACTGCTTAATAAGTTTAATTAAAAGCGTAAGCCCGGCGTATACCGTATTATTCAACGATGAATTCGCGATCGCATAGAAAGAGAGAAAGAGAGAGAGAGAGAGAGAGAGAGAGAGAGAGAGAGAGAGAGAGAGATTCGCAAAGGATGGCATCCAATCAACGTCGAAATGTGGTGCAATTGGAAAATTCTCGCGGTGCAGCGATGCGTTGCGGGAATTGACTCGTATTTCTATGGCGCGCACACATATAAGCACGATTGCATTATGCTAATTACATTTGACTACGATTCGGCGAATTAATAATTAGATCGAGAGATATTTTAGCAATTCATACGCGGGGATTTTTTTTCTAATAAAGATATCATAATGCGTAATGGCGGTATAAGAGAACCCCAGGACACACAGGATCCCGTATTATATGGCTCGCAATATCGAGAAGTCGCCCATAGCGACGGGGGCCCTCGACTCGATCGAAGCGCGCCTCGTATCGTGCTTTTATGCTAATGACTGACGGCGCGATTCGAGCTTTATTATAGGCCGGTACATCCGCACTATGCAAAAGAAGGACGCAATACGTTTTCGGAATGCCTCGGATGCAAATAAAACAAGAAAAAGCGGACGAAAAGGGGGAGCGCGCCCCTCACGTGACTATACCGATCTAGGGAGAAAACCAGTGTATAACTGCGCCGGGAGCTTCTTAAGATTATGCCTAGACATGATCCAACATAGATCGGGGCCTGGGGGGATGAATGGGGGAAAGGGGGGAAAGAGTAGGGGAGGTTTGAATCTAGCTAGTGTATGCAAATCCCCCTCGTGGCAAACTGCTAGACATTTGCATAAGCTTACAGATAACGACGCGTTAGAAGTAGAAGCCTTTCCTTTGGATTCGTTTCTACCGCGCCGGGCTCTTTCAACGGAAGGGAAGAGCGAAGAATCGATCTCTCGAACGTGGCCGATCCCTGCAACGGTATCCGAGAGAGTGATTTTACGGACGGAAACTCGCAATTTCTTAAATGTCTCGAAAAATTGATCAAATACCATATCG